GCTTTAAGATTATGTGTAATACAACTTATGATTGGTGCATCCATTATACATAACACACACATCTTATGTATTTACATATCTGACACCTAAACTTTCATATTTACATACATAACACCCAAATCTTTGATATCACATCAAAAACACACTATTACTGAAATACAACTGAGTGTTATAAATGTAAATATGAAAGTTTAGGTTTTTGATATGTAAATATATAAGAATTGTGTGGTATGTATATAAATTTCTCTAAATTTAATAGTTCTAAATTCATTCAGGTCAAATTTGATTACAATATCTGACCTTTTTTACCTTGACAAAGTCTGACTGTAGTTTTTTTTTTTTGTATCTTTTCAGGAATGATGGTTATCGAAATAGCTTAGAGGTGACGTTGCCCAGCAGTAGTGCTCAGGTGTCGTGTCATCATGTCCAGCATTTGAGAAATTATTTCATACGGACACCGCATACATCTCTGCATGCGGTGTCCGATCCTGACCGTAGATCACGGTGATCTATGGTGAGGATTATTTCAGTTTAAAAAAATATATATAGGTGGGGCCCACCAAAATACATATTGAACGTAAATCACCTGATTTACGGTTAGGATCGGAGACCGCAAGATGCGTGCGGTGCCCGATCCGTATAGAATAATTTTTCCCAGCATTTACCCTCTAGAAGAACTTGTATTATCTGAAATGTTTTGCCGGTTTCCTAATCTCCCAATTTATTGTATACTTGCAGGTCTACAAATTGACTCGCATTGCGAGAGTTTAAGGCTATTTATGGATTCAAGGAAGACTTTTGATTTGCATCCATGGCATTTCCTCTTTTTTTTCTCTAGTGTAAAAGAATGCTTGTTAGCTCAGTTTATTGTTTGGATGAAAATGGGTGATGGGTGAATTTTTAATTCATTTTTTAGGAGGATTTACATACATACCACTCAATTCTTATGTGTTTACATATCTAACACCTATCCTTCAAGTTTCACATCAATTCCACCTTATCCATGCATGAAAATGAAGTGAGATTATAAATTGGAAAGCAATCGTTTGGTCTCTTATGATCGTGATTGAGGTTGTGGAAGGGGTAAGGTGGGCAATGGTGGTGATCAGGTAAAGTTGTATTGGTGATAATTTTTCGAGAGAGAGAATAGTCAATGATGATAGTCAGATGGTTGTGTTTGAGCAATAATGGTCGAACAATGTCAATGAGACAATGATAGTTAGATGATGGCAAACAGGTGATGATAGTTGTTGGTAATGATTGTTAATATTAGACATTAAGCATAGTTTTAAAAAATCTTCAAATCTCAATTTCAAGTATAAATCATACTCAGCGCGAAATCCTATCTATAATATTGAAAAAAAAAATATTTTAATTATTTTGGCTAATTTTTCCAAAATATTTTGAGTTATTATTTATATCGTTAATTTTAAAATTGGAAAATATTGAACCCATTGTATTTTTCTCGTTGAGATGCACGATCTTTTATACTAAGGAATAATAATGCAACATTTAATCGTTCATTGCTCAACAAAAAAATTGTATATTTACACCGCTCAAATCATTCATCACACAAAAATTATCACAAATTTGGCTTCTAAAAAAGTGAAAAATATCTTTTTCATGCATAATCAAAATATTATATACATAAAAATTGAAGATTATGT